ATTCCCATAGTCTTCCTTCCAATGCCTTATATCCACCGCTTGTTCTTTATCGCCTTACTGCCCTGATGCTGTCCTTAGAACAGGAAACTATTGAATATCTGTGGTGCAGATGTGTGCTGTATTTGACTTCCTTGCTTAAATGGGGATGTCTCCCCATTACCTGCAGGAAAAAACCCCATACCTCCCAAGCACAGTCCTTCATACCAGAGACTGTGCTGTTCCTTTCATAAGAGACTTTGAGATTTAATATTCTCTTCCCTTGCTCATCTTTTCTCACTGTGCTCATCACTTCATAAGCCCAAACTTGGGCTGATGCTAACTAGCACTGCTAAAGGTAGAGAGATATAATTTTTTCTTGCAAAAAAATAACATATGATCCCACTTCTTTTACTTGTGAACTTCCTTTATAGTCTACACATTTTCTACAGTACTGAAATAACTGGCATTAAAGGTCTTAACAAGCATCTATTTAAAAAATTCAGTTCAGTGAGTCTGAGGCCCAAGGATACTAGAAAACCCTCATTTCAGGGGAAAAATGTTAACACGGGGCCTGCTGTAATACATGCTTCAATTAGACAAAATACACTGATTAAGAAAGTGTGTCTGTAATCTACATTTTTTTTATTTCTTTTCTTTTTTAAAGGTTTTATTTTTAAGTAATCTTTACACCCAATGTGGGGCTCAAACTCACAACTTCAAGATCAAGAGTTGTGTGCTCCACCAACTGAGCCAACCAGGTGCTTCTACATTTTCTATATTTCAACTGACTATTTAACTGAATTCATTTCTGTTTCTTGTTGTATTTTAATTTTTTTTTTTTTTAAAGCATCTGCACATCCAAGAAGGCATTTTGTCTGGCTCAAACAGGATGTTTGTTATATTCAACTTGGCATTAACATTTATTCAAAATAATCAGTATTTTCATGATTTGGGGCTGTGACTTCCTCATAGAATTGAGAAAGAAGATGATGGTGGGTTTTGAGGTAGGACAAACATTCATTAGATTCTGTCATTTTAATCCCAGTGCCAAAGTTACACAAAACAGAAATAGGTACAAAAAATATATGTGTTTTTTTTTTATATTAGTTACTGATGTTATCAGCAGTAAAAGATTTGTAGCAGTGGACCCCAGAAAATAAAATTCTGGACCTGATGTAAATTTTCTTGTAAGAGCCCCAATGTTTGTATTCTTTTGAAGCTATGTTGTCCATTTATTTTCACCTCACGTTACCGGAATTTGTTGGCTCCGTCTCTATGGAAACCATTCAGAAGGATGATAATGTGAAATCTCATGTGCACAGCCCTCTCTATCAGTGCTGGTGAGGTACAATATTACCCTGTGATTCAAATCCGCTTTCAGTAAATGGAAAAGAATAATATGTAAAATGTGCCCAAAAACCAGGACTGAAAAGCACAAACAACATTGGCTCCCTCTCAAAATCCTGGCTGCTCCTAAAGTAAATTAACACATCCACTCACAGCCAGGAAGCAATATGGTGAATATTCTCTATGGCCACCAAGAGTGAAGGACCCTGGCCACTGAAATGCTGAAGCTCATTCATGTACTTTTGAGGCTTATTTTGTAAGGGAAAGAGAGACAGACCATTTGCATTTGGAGTTTATCATTCAAACTTTTATCAAAACCATAGTGGAAAACATGCCTCAGCAATGCAAGTACATTCTCTCACACACACCAAAAGCAAAGCAACAACAACAAAACACAAACAACTCTACCTCTTTGATAGTTCTTTCCTGTTCTCTTACTAATGAAGGAATGGAGCATGTTCAAACTAAAAGCTGTGGCCAGGGATCTGGCGCCTATAATGATGGGACACAAGTAACTGCATCTAGGACAAAGCACTCTGAGCAACCAGGTCTGCTTTGCATTCATGCAAAAGCAGAAAATGATGCAAAGGTGCTGTGCTCCAATACATGCAGGATAACTTCTGTGCTGACCCGCACAAATGCCTTTTTCCTCAGAACTACAGGTCTGGACTTGAGGCAGCAGATAACTGTCATCTGTACTGATAGCGAAACACACCTCCAGCCCCTCACAGACTCAAACACACAGAAACCAGTTATGCTTGTGGGTGGTATGCAGGTAAGTATAAGTTCCCATGTCATAAACCGTAGCCACAGCAGGTTTATTCCTGGTGCTAAGAACACTTTGTGCAAAGTTTAAGTAAGACATTTTCAAAATGCCAAAATTGTCAAAAAATTTGTATTCTTAGATGGGTCTGCATATTTGTATGTGTGTGTGCATATGTGCATGTATGTGGTGTGGTATGTGTACAAGAGGTAGCTCGATGTTTTAAGGAGAGAATGAGGGGGTAGGGAGGGAGTGAGCAGGATCTCAGTGGAATCAGGGAAATGAAAAATTACAAAAATCAGAAAGGAGTGTGAACTCATCTGGTTTTGCTAACTGGTGCTCAGAAGTTAGCTCTTTCCCTCCCACAGAGGGCCCTATCTTCATGTGCTGACTACAACAAAACAGTACATTTTTTGGCAGCTCCTGAGTTTTTTGGGGGTATGAGGGTTACATATTTGTTTTTAAGGTAAAAAAAATGGATTAATCAATGTCTCAATAGTCTGTCCTAGGGTGGCGGGTAAAGAGCCACTTATATAAAGCCATTATATACAAATGAGAATTCTGATCACTGAGAATTCAAATTAAATTTAAAATTTATTGCTGTGGAGCATGTCCTTTGGTATTTCAAAAGCTCACGTTGGGGCACCTTATGATTTCCCATAGAGAAGCCTACCTTCCCTTTACTAAAGTTGATTTTTTTACATATGCTAACCTAAAAGACAATCTTTACATCTTGCTATAATTACCTTTGAATTGCAGAGGCAATTGCTTACTCTATCCTCACATGATAATTGGTAGTACTAGAAATTAAAGTTACCTCTTATATCATCAAGTGCCAAGCATTGAAACTTGTTTTTAAAATTTTTTTTTTTTATGGGGCGCCTGGGTGGCGCAGTCGGTTAAGCGTCCGACTTCAGCCAGGTCACGATCTCGCGGTCCGTGAGTTCGAGCCCCGCGTCGGGCTCTGAGCTGTCAGCACAGAGCCTGACATGGGACTTGAACTCAGAAATCATGACCTGAGCTGAAGTCAGAGGCTTAAAGGACTGAGGCACCTAGGCGCCCTAGGAAATTCAATTTGATCTGCCATTTCCTCCTTTTCTTTGTTCTCCACATCACTATGGAGGGGAGGGTGAGATTGGGGCTCCAGGAAAGTGAGTAAATAGGTTTCTAGAGATTAGGCTTTGATAAGATTGCCTTTTTCTTATAATTTACTAAGATATTGAGCAGTGTAGTAGCAGAAAGAGGGAGACAGAGGATCCAAAACAGTCTTCATGCTGTGAGTGCAAAGCCCAATACAGAGCTTGAACTCACAACCCTGAGATCGTGACTGAGCTGAAATCAAGAGTCGACCCTTAACCAACTGAGCCACCCAGATGCCCCTTGAAACTTATTTTTAAATATTAACTGGCACTATATATATTAATGTAAAACCATGTTAATTTACTCAATTTTTCAGCTTGTACTTCCTGGTATGTCTGTGTAAGAAGCCAATTGTGTATTATTACAGTTTCAGGTTATTTATATTTGATGTTTTATAAAACTCAAGTACAGCTATACTTATGGACCAAAGAAATGGCATCTGCATACTTGTTATACGTGCCTACATAATTAAAAAAAAAAAAAGTTATTTCTTACAGCAACTAACTCAAAAAAAAAGTCATCTGGGAATTATCATTGCCTCCACACTTCTGTTTCTACACCAGAAATAAGTGCATACATTCCTTTTGAGACATCAATTGAAATACAATTTCATATTCAAACATTCATACTTCAAATAAAGTATATGCGATGATAGTGATCCAAAACCAAGAGAAAAAAAGGCCCAGGCATCCCCATCTTTCCTCCTCTATAGTCAGATAATATTTCCCACTGGGCAGAAGCAGCAGATGGCCTGGTCTGCTCTCAGGCTCCTTTGGAGCCATGACCTCTGCCTATCAAGAAATATCCAAGGTGTTTTCTTATTTAGTATTGAGATGTGAACCTCTGTTTTGTTCTTCCTATCATACAGCCAACTGCAACGGAAAATAGCAAAATAGCATGGATGTGGACTTGGGTGTTTTCCTTAAGTGTTGGGGAAACACTTTCAGAGTTGTGCAAACAGTAGCAGCAAGAGTGGGCAGAACAGGGGAACACACACACACACACACACACACACACACACACACACACACTAGCACGCACACCCCTAGAATAGGAATGAGTTTCCTAATTGGTGAGATAAGAACAGAGCAAGCAACTGAGTATGTGCAGCTCCATCCCTTCTTTTACTGTTTCTAGAAGAGCCTGTTCACAGAATACATGTGTTCTCTTTCGCTACAAAGTGTTAAATAATGAAGCTGATATTTTAATCTCCATTTACCTAATACTATGTCTGCTTTTGCCATTGATTATGAACACAGAATATTGGGGGAAGGAGGTAAAGGACACTCCTAAAATCCTGAGAAGGCAATGGACTAAGATTCAGACTCACAGAGTAAGCTCAGACATAGGCTTAAAAAAAAAAAAAAAAAAAAAAAAAAAAAAAAAAAGACATAACCTTAAAATCCCAGTGTCTCCGAAGAATAAAGCCCTGAATCTGTCCACCTACAAGTTGACATCTTGCTCAATGTGCTTACAAAGACAGAATGAACATTATATTGGAACAGATTAACACCATCGACATTTTAGAGCTCTAGAATGTTTTAAGGGAATAAAAGTGGGAAGAACCTCAACATTTTCTTTACATATAAGTAAGGAAATTTCCCAAACCAGAGAAAGCCAGGTAGGTTCCTGGAGGTTAGAGACAACACAGGAGTGTAGGTGTTAGTGTATAAGTTCTGATGCTCCAAGGGGGAGGAGGGCATGGGAAAATGGAGGGAAATAATGCAAATCAAAACACAGTACTCCTGTATTCAATCAACTAATACATTACCATCCTGCATTCTCCAGTAAGTTCCGCAAAATCGTCTGTGGCACAGAGCAGTTATAATAGCCCATGCCCATATACGATCTCCAGATCTGGTTTTTGCTGGAAATGGCATGCAGAGTTGTAAGGATTTCATTTTCACCTGATTGTAAGAAAGAGAGAAATATTATAGGCAAAAAATATCGCAAAAGAGAGCTTTAATTATAGTTGAAGACCTTTATTTCATTTGAATATACCCTATATAAGAAAACAGCTATCTGGAAAATATAAGAATCAATCCCTTAACAACACTAAGGACTAAATGTAGAAATCTCAAAAATCCACAAAATAGTACTCAATTACTCCTCAAAGTTGGTTCATCACAATTTTTTTTTTGGCTCCCCTTTTTTGGCTTTGTTAGAATTACCCAATTTTAATACTTGCCTCATTCCAACTTTCCTCTGGTTCCTTTACATTTCTGTGGTATTTACACCAAATAAAAATTCAGTTTTCTCTTAGTAAAGTACTGTTTTCCCTTTTAAATTGCCTTATACCAATATTGGCATAAGTCTTAAAAATACATGACCTATATTTTTCTCTAAAACTCCTCTACTAACTCTGATGCTTTTCCCTTTGTATCACTGACAGGGCTACTTATTTATTTTTTTAAGGTTATTTATTTATTTTGAGAGAGATAGAGACAGCATGTGTGAGCAGGGTAGAGGCAGAGGGTGGGGGGGAGGGAGAATCCCAAGCAGGCTCTGAGCTGTCAGCGCAGAGTCTGACATGGGGCACGAACTCACGAACCATGAGATCACGACCTGAGCCAAAACCAAGTCAGACATTTAACCGACTGAGCCATCCAAGCACCCTTGAAAGGGCTACTTATAAAAAGCTCTTCACCCAACAGTGTAAAATATTAGTTGTCATAAAAGATGTAGTTAAAAAAAAATGTTTTTAGTGTTTATGCATTTTTGAGAGACAGAGTGCGAGCAGGGGAGGGACAGAGAGAGAGAGAGAGAGAGACCGAGTCCGAAGTAGGCCCCAGGCTCCCAGCTGTCAGCACAGAGCCCCATATGGGGCTTGAACTCAGGAACTGTGAGATCATGAACTGAGTGATAGTAGAATGCTTAACCAACTGAGCTGCCCAGGCACCCCATAAAAGATGCAGTCTTAACCAGAATTCCCATTAAAGCATTTAGATAATTGAAAAGGAAGTACAAAGTTTTTGGTACAGGTGCGACCCTATTTGGGGTCATTCATATAATAATAACAAAATAATAATCGCATCTGACATTTGAGCATTACTCTTTGCCAAGAATTGCACCAAATGCTTTTCATGCAGCTAAGGAATCTAAGGCATGAACAGGATCACTGGCCCAAGGCTACATGACTTTTAAATTGAATGGTTACAACCCAGTTTATCTAACTACAGATTCTACACTTTCCCTACTGGACCAGGTACAGACCTGCTACAGGTACAGCACTTATACTAATAGTTTCCAGATACAAATGACCTTACATGGTTCTTTCTCTGCCCTTCTGCATATAGATGCATCATGCTGCTAAAAATTTAACTACTTGGGCAAATGTCTGGCTCTTTTAAGATCTTCTCAGGGACTCAGTCACTTACATCTTAGAATTATCTGATTTTATTGTTACTATATCAGAGAAAAATATACAGCCATCTCTAAAATGGCCAACTGGCTAGAAGGATGCTTCACTTTCTTTTAACCTTTCTGAACTCTATGTGAATATTACTCTCATTACTCCTTTATCCTCAAAGAAAGCACTTTTACCCTCCAATCTACCTTCCCACTCCACATGCTTTCACAAGAAATATATTTACAAGAAATGTATCATTTTGCCAGACTAAGTTAAAGAAAGAGAAGACAGGGTTTTTTTCTTAATTTGTTTATTTTTGAGAGAGAGAGAGACAGAGCACGAGCAGGGGAGGGGCAGAGAAAAAGGAAGACACAAGATCTGAAACAGGCTCCAGGCTCCAAGCTGTCAGCAGAGTCTGACGCGGGGTTTGAACCCACAAACCATGAGATCATGACCTGAGCCGAAGTCGGGTGCTTAACTAACTGAGCCACCCAGGTGCACCAAGAGAAGACAGTTTTGTTACATGAGTAAATATCATTCAACTGACTTATGATAGACAACCTTGCCTTATTCCATTGAAAGTCTAGGAATATGTGAAGTTCAATAAACCAATATCTGAGGAGATATAGCATCCTTAGCAATTATGCAAGAAATCCAATCACTTACCAAAGTCTTAGGATAGAGTGATTGAGAAGTCCATTAGGAGCTGGGATAGACTAGCAGTGCCTGGCGGGCCCACTATTCAGCAAGGCCAGCTTCAATTAAGATCCTTTAAAAGAGGGACGGGTCCCTTTTCCATATTATGTCATGAGGACAAAAGGTCTAGCATCCAAATGAGAACAGTCTGTGAAGGACTTTATCTGTCAAATCAAGAGTTTAATGTTTAGGAGTAACAGAGTACTAAATAATATGATCTTTTCTACATTATAGAAAGAAAATTGTAATGATACTGCGCCTAGGTCAGAGAGGAGACCCTGGAAACAGGGAGGTATGGTAAGAAGCCAGTACATTAGTCCAGGAGGGAGATGGGCAAAGAAGTCCTGTGAACTGTGTCCTAAGATGTTGAAGTCCTAACCCCCGATTCCTGTAAATGTGATCTCATTTGGAAATAGGGTTTCAGTAATGTAATCAAGTTAAGATGAACTCAGGCTATATTAGGGTCAGCCCTAATTCAATGACTGGTGTCCTTGTAAGAAAAGGGAAATGTGGATATAGAGCAACACATCACCATGTAATGACAGAAGCACTATAGGATCAACAAGCCTTGCTTCTCAAGCTTGACTTTTTTTCTTATTTTAGTGATTAAAGTTTTTCCCCCTCTTAAAAAATTGGACTGAGGATCAAGTGAATTAATGGGAATTGCAGGAAGAGGAACCCCAGAGACATAATAACATGGCTGCAGTCAACTGAGTACTACCCCTCTCTGCTCCCGTAATTTTTCATCTGGAGCTCTCTTGGCTAGTAACTTCTATGCTTCTGGGTCTTCTCTATAATTAATTATTTTGCTCTTCACTTATGCCAGTGGGCCTTTAAATTTCTTCAAGTGTTTCATTCAAGTGTGTAAGGCATAATGGCAGCTATAAGGGATATAGATATCTATCTGAAGACCTTGAACTGATGTGGAATGTGCCAGTGGGTACCTGGCTAGTCTGGGTTCATGTCTTCTTTTCCTAACTGTTTAAGGCATATGGCCAGGACAGGACCAGGGCTTGGGTGGCAGAGGCTGCTGGAAAGAGGGGAGCTGGGCTCTAGTTGAGGCACCCACTGGGCTCTACCCTGGACAGCTCTGCTAAGAGGTATGAGAGAATGGGTTTTCCTGCAGAAGGAAAAATCAGATCCCTCCACCATTCTAGCTGAGATTTTGGGGTCTCCAGATACATTATCAGCATCCTTCATAACTGCCACTATCTCTTACACACTACACACACACACACACACACACACACACACACTACACACACACACATACACACACACAATACCCAGAGCATGAAAATGATCAAACTTGAGACAATGAAGTTTCTAATCCTATAACAGATTTATTCTAGTCCTCACTGGACCAAACTGCCAAAGCACTCATGTGCTCTACCACTATTCAGCTTGGGGCTAACACAAATGTTCCCCATTTGGCTCTCATCATAGCTGGTCTTTACAACCAATTTTACCTTCTCTTGGGAAGAAAGTGAGTTAATAGAATGTACACCAAGCTAATTGACACTGCTGAGACATCAAGAGTAGGGTAGTTACTTGGCCACACTTTTCAAAGTGAGAATGGTGTGGAAGTCTTTCTCATTCTCTCATCCATTGTTCATCCTGAAGACACTTCCCACCTGGAGACCAAGGCAGTTTGTGACTTGAAGAACAAAGCTGCTCCTTTATTGTGATAAAATCAAGACCTCAGGCTGCATCAGTCACATATCATAAAAAACATTCCCAGACACACAGCTTAGTGGGTAAGTGCCTGAATTGTTTCAAATATCTGTTCACCGCTCACCATTTCTCATACCCACTAATGAAATCTCACTTTGGCCCAATTAGCAAAAGAGCCAACCCCATGTATTTAGGAGTCCAGAGTTTGAATTACTATGTTAAATGATGCCAACCAAGATCCAATGGACATTGAGAAAAGGAGGAAAGAGGAAAGGTCCACAATTAGAGATCTACCTACTGAACCTATCTCAAATGGAACCTAGCAGAATCAGTCTCTAAGGGCAAGTTTTGGGGCATGATTGGTCTAAATAAAAGCCAAAATCCTAAGCATGCAAATCTACCACTGCACTTCACACTAGATTTAGATTCCTTTCTCTCTTGGAACAGAATTCCTTTCTAGGGAAAATAGTGTAGGATCTATAACTGTAAAGTGGCAGTCTTTTCCCCCTACCTAGTAAGAGAAGCATTATAAAGAGGCAGTTGTGCCATCCAAACCTTGGGCAGCATGGCCCAAGGAGAACTCTGTGGACAAGACAGAGAGGAAAAAGATTCCATCTCCCCCAGAGCAAACCCCACAACAGTGCACATTCCTCACTCTTCCTTCCAATGTGACAAAAACAGCTTCCTTCTGTAACCAGACCCAATTCCAGTAACTGTTTTCCTTAATGATAATGGCAGTGAAACTAGGGGGGAAATGAGACAGAAAGAGAAAGGGAGTATCCATTAAGAAACACTTGGAGACAAGTGTCATTCTTCAAATGCTTGCCTATAGCCTCCCAGGGGAGCAGCTAGTCTCACTATTGTGCCCCTCCCCACCCCCAGCCATGAAAGTCCCCAGGCAATCCTTCAGGAATTCAAGCAGTAAATTCTTTTCTTATGGAACAAACCCTGCTTCTGACCTTGTTTACTAGTCTGCCTCTGAGCATTGCATAATGCCCTGGTTCTAATGTACCAAGAACAGAGTTCAGTGGCCTGAGCCCTGAGTCCCTAAGAATCTACAGGTGGGTCTCACACTGCTCCTCTTGCTGTTCCTCTTTGCAAAATTCAGAATGAACACTTTCTTGTTACATAATTCCATGTAAGAGACTTTCCAATAGTGACTCCCTTCTGTCACCAGCACATAAAATA